CTTTGGCCTTTGTTATTTATCAAGGAGGAAACAGAGAGATAATTCATTGAGGTTTAAGAGTTTTTGCCCATAAATACATAATGAATGTCTTTCACTAACTTGTTTCTTTAGCAAATATCTATTGTGTCTCTTTGGTGTATCACATTCTGTTTTTGACTCTGAGAATGTAGAGGTTAAGACAAATCCTTTTCCTTGAAACTGTCATAGCCTACTGGAGAGACATAATACAATATGAGAATTTTGCAATCTAGGTATGTTACAGGACACCATCTGAACACAAAGCAAGGAAGAGCAAACTAGGCTACTTAGTCAGGAAAGGCTCTTAGTTATGAAGAATGTGAAAGATATCCAGGCAGGGAAATGGTATAGTTATTTCTATTTAGTTTTTTCTTATTATATACTTTGAATTTTCCAAGATATGTGTAGGTAACATATATAATTATGAATAAAAATATTTTTTAAATGAACATGTGAGGGAGGCCTCCACATCTTATTTTTTAAAGTGTTTTTGAGAGTGCCATTATCTTCAAAAAAAAATAAAAACCAGGACAATGTAGAATCACCTCATTAACACTGCAGGAAAGAGAGAAGTCCTGCTATGTTTCTGTTAAGTAGCACATACTCAATGAAAGTTATCTGTATAGATTTGTACTATTAATTATATCACATAAAATAGCATTATTGATTTCCTAAAATCATTATATTAATTTTCACACTATGAAGTAACTATAAAGATGTAAACGTTTTTAATAGATTTATAAGAAATTATTCAAATTGATGTTTCACATTGGAAAGCTATCCTTGTTTATGATTTAAGATTTCTGATATTTATGCTTAATTTATTAAACAAATATGTATTGAGTACTGTGTGTCAGACACTGTTCTAAGCCTTGGAAATATAACAGTGAACGAAATGGATGAAAATCTGTGTTCTCTAAGAACATAAGCTTACTCTGTTGTGGCAGGGACAGTTAATGAAGAGATTGATAATAAAATATGATATGTCAGATCGTAGTGTGCAATGGGGAAAAATAAAGGAGGAAATGTTGTTGGATGTATTAGGGGAGGTGGACGAGTTGATTATTCAAAGCATAGCTATTGATAAGCCAGTATTTGAAAGGAGCCCTGAAGGAGGTGAGGAAGCAAACCATGCAGGTGTTTAGAGGAAGAAAATCCAGGGAAAGGGAACACCTACAAACCCTTGAGATGGATACATGCTTCTCAGGTTGAAGGAACAGTCAGGAGCCCAGTATGGCTGGACGGTGGGGAGGGTGCCAGAAGAGGAATTGAGAAAGGTGTGTAGCAAGACCAGACTCTGTAGTTCTTATTGGCCATGGTAAAGACTTGGCTCTGTCTCTAAATGAGATGGAGCCATTGGAGGGTTTTGAGTCAAAGAGGAATGATTAGACCAAAAGGATGACTTGCTCTTGTGTTAAGGCTAGACTCTGGGGGCCCAGGGTGACTCGGGGAGACCCGTTAAAGGCTATTGCACGTTTCCAGGTGAGGGAAGATGGTGGCTTAGAGCAGTGTGGTGGTGGAGGTCAGATGATAGACAAATGCACACACCTAAAACCTGATCATAACTAGTCACTGCCCCCTGCCCTCTGTCAGTGAGTTCACCTTCAAGTTTCTCAGTCTGACTTGCCTTTCCTAACTAGTACTTTCTTCCAGCACTTCAAATGCAACACATTTTTTAAAAGACATTAGAAGCTACAATTCGTGGATCCTACCACCTTTTCATTGTCCTTCTTGGTTTCATTTCCTTCATAATTCAGCTTAGATTCCATGGTCCCATTTAAATTCCTTGCATAGACTCTTAATTTCCATGTATCTCCTTTTGGTGTGTTGTTGACCTTGTCCTGAAAAACCACAAACCCCATTATTACAACTCTGTCTACTTATGCCTGGACCCAGACAGCTGAACCTCACTGGAGAGAAACACACAACATGCTTACTGACCTCACTTTAATCGTAACAGAAAGGGAGCTCTTAGGGCTTCCTGACAATCTTACTACGTTTTCCAAGCATGTTCACTTTCCCTAGCTCACTGTCCCGTGTCTTATCTTCCTCAAATTTCCAACACCTCCTCTCTCATCCTCATTATCAGCTTCCTACTACACTGAGAAAATAAAAGTAGCCAGGAAAAAATGCAAAACTTTTCTGTGTTCCCATAATCAAAACTGCCACCCTCCTGAATCTGTGCCCATAGCTCTGCTGCCAGTATGGTTGAATTTGTTTCTAAGGCAAAAACCTTGCACTTACATATTATATCGTTCCATTCTCACCTAGTCCAGATGTTGTTTTAGCAAACATTCCGTCTCTCTCAAAATCAAACGAACATGATGTTATGATTCTCATCTTTAAAAATACCTCCTTTTTGCCTTATCCATCTTTCTAGCTACCATCCTATCTCTTGGCTCCCCCTTGTAGCGGTACTTTTGAAGAGCTGTCTACACTCATTGTTTATACTTCTTATCCACGCATTCTTACTTCAGTTCACTACATTAGGCTTTGGTGTCCACCACTCCCTGAAACTGTTGCTGTCAAGGTTATCAGTGACTTTTAACTGGTCCTCATCCGATTCAACTGTCTTCAGCTTTTGGCACAAATAATCACTCCCTCCATCTTGAAGTTCTTTCTTCATTTGGCTGCCAGGATCCCTGATTTCACTGGTTTTGTTCCGACCTCCCTGGCCCAAATTTCTCAGGGATTTGCTAATTCCACTCCTCTTCCTAACTGCTATTGGTGTTCTTTGGATCTCTTTTCTCTGTCTGAGCTCATTTTGGGTCATCTCATTAAGGCTCATGATTTTATTTTTTTATTATTATTATTTTTTTACAAATAGTTTATTGTCAAATCAGTTTCCACATAACACCCAGTGCTCATCCCCACAAGTGCCCTCCTCCATGCCCCTCCCCCCTCCCCCCCACATCCATCAGTCCTCAGTTTTTGTCAGCATTCAAGAGTCTCTCATGGTTTGCCTCTCTCCCTTTCCCCCACCATTTCCCCCCTTCTTCTCCCCCTTGTTCCTCAGTTAAGTTCCTCGTAATCCTCCTATACGTGCAAACATATGATATTTGTCCTTCTCTGCCTGACTTACTTTGCTCAGCATAACACCCTCAAGGTCCATCCATGTTGCTACACAAGGGCTCATGATTTTAAATATGAGGCATATACTGATGACACCTCAATATATAGTTCCAGTCCTGAACCTTGCCTAGAACTCCTGGAACAAACATGTCCATCCAACAGCCTGCTCATCATTTCCTTTTGCATGATAGTTAAAGTTTCATGAGTCCAAAACCAAAGTCTTGATTTTCTCTCCCTAAATACGTTCTTTCTGCATTTTTCCTTAGTTAATGGCATTTCTTAACCTTCAGTTGCTCAGGACTATACTTTTGGAGTCTATCCTCACTCCTCTCTTTCTTTCATGCCCTAGATGCAAACTGTAAACAAATCATGCCAGTTTCACCTTCAACAAACTTCTTAAAACATATGCTAATGAGCCTAAATGATTATAATAATTGTATCCTTTGAAACATATTTAGAATTTTAGAAGCACCTATAAGTCGCAACAAATTTCATGACTACAGTTTGTAATAAAAATCTGTATAATTCACATTTAGTCAGGAATGAAATGTTAATGGTTTTCTTGAGTGAATTATAAATATGCCTGAAAGCCAATCTAAAATAATAGCTTCGAAAATGATTTGCTCTAGAGCACCATCAGTGGAATGAATATTTAATTTACCATGTTACCACTTACAAGAATAATGTTTATTAGGTTTTATAGGTCCTGGGTTACTGTTTAAAATTTATCTCCATTCTTCATAATCACAATTTGAATTAACATCTCAAGAATAGTACAATGACTTATTTATTTCTCTGTAATGTTAAGGATACTGATTCTGGAGCCATACTGCTTGAGTTCAATACTGGCTCTATCATTTTCTAGTTACATTATCATGAACAACCCCCTGAAATGTTCTGTGCCTCAGTTTCCTCATCTGTAAAATAGGGATAATGCGAGTGCCTACTTTAGGATTTCCTAGAAGGATCAAATGAGATCATCCACTTAAGTGTTTAGGATAGTGGCTGGCACAGGGTAAGAGATAGAAATGATGCCGGGAATAAGAATTATATGGAGATTCTTTGTTCCTAGAAGCCCTCAGGAAACTTGAGGCATAAATAGAATACCTGAAAGGTGAAAGACATTGCAGGGCTTCAGGAATTGTTCAAGACAGGCATAAAAGTGACATGTGAAGGCAATAAGTATTAGTTATCTACAAAGTGAGAGAACTAGTAATAGATGTTATAGACATTCAAATGGGAGAGAAAGATTACTTCTATCAACAGAAGTTTAAGATAATTTGTGGTGAAATTTTTGTTCTTTAGATGCCCCCACTCCTAATAAAACCGAGAAAAGTGCAAATTCTCACATATGAATATTCAGAAGCATAGGACTTTAGTACAAACTGCTAATGTAGAGCTTTGATTAGATTCCCTAAGAGAAATTCCTTTGAAATATAAATACCTATTTATTCATGTATATAGAAGCTGCCATTTATATCTGTACTGAAGTACCACACTGCTGATCAGGTTGTTTCAGATATGCACATATTTTAAATTTATTATAGGGAGTATCAGTTATATATCTCTGTAGGTGTTTCTTCTTCCTGGTACAATTATACATTTATCTAAGATATAATTTAATCAACAGACATTAAGTGAACACCTACCTACTCTGGGTGAGACACGGTCTTCTCATGCGAAGAAAATCTGCATTGCCAAATAAAAAAATGTACAACTGATATGGTAATAACAGCTGATCCTCATAGTTTCATTATTTATTCCTTTCAAATGGACATGCCTTCCTGAAGTGTAATTAATCAACATTAAGCCCAGAACTGTGAAGCTGTGTGGACAAAGTTATTTCAAAGTTTAATCCCAGGAAAGGGAGAACAAGAGACCTAAATTCTTTTCCTTTCTCTTCCCTCTAGTTGGCCCGTCACAACAAACTCTTACAGCAGATGCTCAAACCAGGATCAGATCCAGATGACGGGGATGAAGCCTTAAAATATTATGCCAACCACACTGCACAGATCGAGGTAACCATCAATTATTTCTTGAAAGGCATCAACTCTGAAAATATATGTTCACTTTCTATTTCAGACCATTTTCATAATTGTTTCCTAGAACAATGAGGCAGCATTGAAAAATACAGACTGGAAAAGTATATATCAAAAGTTAAGATGAGGGGAGTCATCTATAAGAAATCAAGGTGCATATCTTTCACAGTGGTCTTTAGTTTTGGGGCAGAACTATATGTAAATGGTCTTTTGTAATTAATGTCATTTTTGTTTTGTTTTGGTCATAGAAGCAATCATTGCAGAGCAGTGGTGTTTTCATGAAAAGATTATTATAATAGAAGTATCATTCAAGAAAAGCACACTCTGTAAAAACTCTAAAAGGCTAATTAAATATCTGGGTGAGATGGTGTTCAGAAGTATGGAAGGCGCTATAAAGTGTTCATATCAATAGCATAAAGTTGGAATGATTTATAGCAGTTTCCATTTTCAGTACGCAGCAATTGATGTCCCACCCCCTAAATGAAGCATTATTTAATAGTTAATGGCAGTTCAGAAGGTGGAGGTCAACACGGACTTATCATTATGTGTTGTGAGACCCATCTGGCTGTCATTTACTAGCTATGGTATCATTTTGACACTAGTTGGCAGAGCTAATCAGGCAGAAGTGAGCAGAGCAGTTGATGCTTGTCACTCGTAAATTACATTCATACATTTATCCACTTTGGCAGGTATTTTTTTAGTTTTCAGCAGAATGCATGATGGGTATCATTGCTATTAACTCTCATGGTATATTAGCGCTACACCTTGTTGTTTCCTATCACCAAACATTTGGGAAAATGAGCATTATTACCTCGTATCACAAAATGGATCTCTTGCTCACGTTTATAAACATGAATAATACTATGGCCTGAGTGGGAGACTTGACCCTGGTAGAACCCATGAGCTGGACCAGCAGCAAAAACATTGCTTATTGCATCAGCTGCTTAGAGACTGAGAGGCTGGCCAAGTCAGGAAACTGGGGAAGTTGATACAGATTTATCACCAAACCACTTGGGTTGTGAGGAAGGTCCCAGAAGTCACAGTACAAAGCTACAGGATTAGAAGAGACAGGAATAGCAAGTGGACTGGGTGGGTCAGAGGAAAGGTCCAGTTCATACCTGTGTGAGAGATGGGGGCTGTCATTTGAGATTGGATTTTTACTGGTTTCCCAGCAATGAGGAGCGAGTTCACCATAAACACAACTTTAGTAATTTGTTAGCAGATCACTTACTGTCTATCAGTTAAAAACACATACAGAAGATAATTCTGTGTAGTAAGTGCATAAACAAAGGGCCAAGGAAACGTAGAGAAAACATCAATTAACTGTGCCTGGGGAGTTTCAGGATGGATTTCATAGAGACAGTTGCCAAAAAAATATATTAAAGACTGAGTAGAAGTTTCTTCGTTAAAGAATGGGCACAGAATTTCAGATAGAAGTAAATGAAAGAAAGGTGTGAAAGAACATATGAGCGAGGTTGACTCCTTTCAAAAGAACGATTATAAATGATAGTGGTATTGAAGACTACACTGGAGAAAAATATACATGTAGTGTGTGTGTGTGTGTGTGTGTGTGTGTAAGATATTTATAATGCTCCTTATAAAATGTGACAACCTAAGGAAAATGGTATAGAAAAGGATGCCCCTAGGCTTCTGGTCTGAATAAATAACAGAAATGGTGCTGTGCATTGGGGTCCTAGCTCTGAGACCCCAGAGAGAGGCAGACCATTTCTTGGTTCTTGGATAAATTGAACTTTAGGTGACTTTGAGGCATGCATGAAGTTGGGTACAGAAGTCCAGGATTCAAAGGAACAGTCTGGACCGATGGTCTGACTTCTACATGTTGACCAATCCTCGTGCTCATTGGAAGACCCGCTCATATGCACTACTCAGAGAGGCTCTATCCCTTCTATCAGGCATTTGTTAGTTTTAGCCACTGCACCTCCCATGGCAGTTTGATCATGCTGTTAAATATATCATACATATCTTATGTATCACTTGTCCCCTACTTGAGGCAGGGGCCATTCTTGATCATCCCTATATTTCCAAAACTGACACTGTGCCTGGAACACCACCATAATAATGATTATTGTTGAAAATGATAGGTTTTCTAAAGATATAGACTGAAAGACACTGGAAAAATTTGAAGGACCTTGTGGATGACCCATCCAGAGAGAAATTATTTTGTAATGATCCTGTTCCGCTCCCAGTTCTTCCTGTGATAGAGATCTCACTACTTCAGAAGGAAACAGATCCAATTTTGAACAATTTGAATAATTAGAAAGTTATTTTTTGTGAAGAGTGCACACTAGCCCACTTTAATGTTTACCCACTGCTCAGAACATTTGTTCCTCTGTTAGCGTGATAGCTTGGCTGTACCATTTGAAGAACCATGATGATCACTAAGCTATAGGCTCCTATAGATCGGGATTCATGTTGTTTTTTTCACTGAATTCCTCCGAGCTCCGCGCCCAAGCAGTGAATAGGCATTTGTTGAATAAATCTTTTGAAAACATTATCCATTTTGGCTTTTTACAGTTAATACATTCCCCTAGTCTGCGGCAATCCCTCCAATTAGTAGGTGCCCCCTTGTATAGTGTGACGTCCAGAATCAAACACAACATTTCATAAAGGGACTGAATAGTTTGTTTTATAATAAATAAACTTCTATGTCTTTTTTTAAATAATTCTAATTTTTAATTTAAATTTTTAAAAAGTCAAAAACAATGCACCCATTTTTCCCACACCCAGTCCCCTGCCTCTGGCAACCACCATCTATTGTATGTATCTATTTACATTCAGATTCCACATATAAGGGAGATCATGTGCTGTTTGGCTCTCTCTCTCTCTGACTCATTTCACTTAGTATAATGCCCTTGAGGTCCATCCATTTGTTGTCACAAATGGTGAGATTTCATTCTTCTTTATGGCAAATATGCCACTCTGTATGTTATGTATACCACCATTGTCTTTACCCTTTCATCCATTGATATTTAGGTTGTTTCCTTAATTTGACGATTGTAAATAATGAACATGGGGGTGCAGATATCTTTTCAAATTAGTGTTTCTGTTTACTTTGGATAAATATGCAAAAGTGGAATTGCTGGATCGTATAGTATTTCCAGTTTTAATTTTTCGGGAACCTCTATGTTGTTTTCCACAGTGGCCACACCAATTTACAGTGCCACCATCAGTGCACAAAGGTTCCCTTTTCTCCGCATCTTCGCCAATACTTGACATTTCTAGTCTTTTTGATAATAGTCATTCTAACATGTCTGAGATGATTTCACATTGTGGTTTTGATTTGAATTTTCTTGATGACGAATGATGCAGGGCGTCTTTTAATGTATTTGTTGCTCATTTGTCTGTCTTCTTTGGAAAATTGTCTATTCAGATCTTCTGCCCATTTTTTAATCAGATTGGGTTTTTCTGCTATTGAATTACATGAATTCTTTATATAGTTTGGCTGTTAGCCCATTATTGGATATTTGATTTGCATGTATTTTCTCCCATTCAGTAGCTTGCCTTTTCATTTTGCTGACGGTTTCCTTTGCTGTGCAAAAGCTTTTTAGTTTCACGTAATCCTACTTGTTTATTTTCGCTTTTGTTGCCTTTGCTTTTGGTGCCTGATTTAAATCATCATCTTCAAGACCTATGTCAAGGAACTTACTGTTTTCTCCTAAGACTTTTTATGGCTTCAGGTCTTCTGTTTAAGGTTTGATCATTTTGAGTTAATTTTTATGTATTGTGTAAGGTAGTGGTCCAGTTTCATTCTTTTGCATGTAGCTGTCCAATTTTCCAAAACCATTTATTGAAGAGACTGTCCTTTCCTTATTGTGTATTCTTGGTTCCTTCGTGGTCAACTAATTGACCACATGTGCATGGGTTTATTTCTGGGCTCTCTATTCTGTCCCATTAATCCGTTTTTCTGTTTTTATGAAACCACACTGTTTCATTTACTATAGCTTTGTAATATGGTTTGAAATTAGGGAGTGTAGTTTCTGTCTTTAAATTGCTTTGGCTATTTGGGGTCTTCAATGGCTCCATACAAATTTTAGGACTGTTCCTTTTATGCTAGGATGTTTTGTTCTATTTGAAAAATGCCATGGGAGTTTTGACAGGGATTGCATTGCATCTGTATATTGCTTTAAATGTACTTTAAAAATATTAGTTCTTCCAAACCATTAGCATGAAATATTTTTCCATTTATTTGTAGCATCTTCAATATTCTTAGTGGCTTATAGTTTTTAATATACAGATCTTTTAGCTCCTTGGTTAAATTTATTTCTAGGTATTGTATTTTTTAAATTTTCTTTTTATTTTTTAGAGAAAGAAAGAATGCACAAGTTGGGGAGAGGGGCAGAAGGGAGAGAGAGGGAATATCTTAAGTAGGCTTCATGCTCGGTGTGGAACCCCATGCAGGGCTTGGTCCCATGACTCTGGGATCATGACCTGAGCCTAAATCAAGAGTTGGATGCTCAACTGACTGAGCCACTCAGGTGCCCCTATTGTATTCTTTTTTATGCAATTCTAAATGAGATTGTTTTCTTTATTTCTCTCTCTGATAGTTCATTATTAGTGTATAGAAATACAACAGATTTTCATGTATTGATTTTTGTATCTTGTCACTTCACTGAATTTGTTTAGTATTCCTAACACTTTTTTTGATGGCGTATTTAGGGTTTTCTATCCTAATATCATGTCCTCTAGATATAGTGACCATTTAACTTATTTTTTTCCAATTTGGATGCCTTTTATTTTGTTTACCTGCCTAATTGCTCTGGCTGGGACTTCCAATACTATGTTGAATAAAAGTGGTAACATTATTGTCTTGGTACTGATCTTAGAGGAAGAGCATTCAGCTTTGCACTGTTGACATATGATGTTAGCTGTGTGACTTTGTCATGTATGGCCTTTATGTTGATATATGTTACCTCTATATCCACTTTGTTGAACGTTTTTATCATAAATGGATGTTGAACTTTCTCAAATGCTTTTTTTGCATCTAGTGAACTGATTATATGATTTTAATGCTTTATTTTGTTACTGTATTGCATCACATTGACTGATTTGTGGATGTTGAACATTCCTTGCATCCCTGGAATATATCCCACTAGATCATGGGATAGAGACACTATTTGTTAAATGCATCCTGAGAATTTTTTAAAAATATAGTTTGACACTTTTGGATCAAGCAGACCTCTTTTTTTCTTCTGCAGTACCAAATAAGTACAGTTTTTCTTTTGTACAATTGATTTCTTTAACCTCTGTTTGAGAATTTTATTTACCGCTACTAAATTTCATTTTACATGTTTATTTTTTTATTTTTAATGTTTATTTATTTTTGAGAGAAAGAGACAAAGAGCACGAGCAGGGGAGGGAGTAGTGAGAGAGGGAGACACAGAATCTGAAGCAGACTTGAGGCTGTGAGCTGTCAGCACAGAGCTCAACAGGGGCCTCAAACCCACTAACTGTGGGATCATGACCTGAGCCAGTCAGATGCTTAACCAACTGAGCAACCCAGGTGCCCCTTTTTTGTGTGTTTATATGATAGTATTCTAGTATTTAGTTTGCATACTTATGAATCATTTAGGATAGCTTACATTAAAAGCAGCAGAACACTATATTGACAATGGTTTGAACAAAAATATATTTGAATATCCTACATAAAGGGAAGTCTTCAGGTACCGATAATTCTACAATTCAGTGACTCAGCGATGTCTTCAGACACACTGACCTTTCCTATCTTTCTCTGTGTCTTCCTTATGTGCTGGTGATAGTTCACCTCAAGCTTTCAAAATGGCTGCCAGAGTTGAAGGCATCCTGCATTTCTACTACCTTTTGTTCTAAGTGGGAAGAAAGAGGATACAGGCCAAAAGAAGTTTTTTTGTATTTAGTTTTTTGGCATTATTATTTTGTTTCTTTCATGTGACTCTCTGCTTTTTCAGGAAGCAAAATCTTTCCTGATTCCCTCTCCTCTGCCACCAGGATATTTCTACTTATGCCTCATTTCCTGGAACTAGGTCACATGCTTGCCACCATACCAGCCCGTGGTGAAGGGGAATAGGATGATCCTTCTGGCTTACACCAATCCTGATTCATTCTTGAGGGCTAAGCAGAGTATATACACATGTACCTTGAGATTTAGTCTAAAAAAACCCTTGTTGCATAGTGGGTTTGTATGAAAATATTCAGCTGGTTTTTGTTTTGTTTCGTCTAACATCAAACTGTCACAAGTACCAAATAAGACAAGTTCAAATTAAGGAGTATTTACATCTAGTTATATGCTTGAATGGATCTGATACCTACAAAAATATGTTTTGCCATGAGTAGGAAACATTTTAATGACACAAAGCACCTTTTTCTGTAGAACTCAGGGCACTTCGTGTTGAGTATGTCATTTGGTCCCCAACAGCTCTTTTTAGGAAGTACAGGCTAAGAATAAGATGCAAATATACCAAGTGCTGTGTTTAAGGTTATGTAGCCAATCACTTAGTTCTTAGTTCTCTGGTGTAGCTCATGAAAATAAAAAATGGGTGGCAAAAGTTTAATGTTAGTCCAGAAGGAATAAAGATTTGGGTTTTTTTATTTATAACATAGTATTTATGATACATTCATCAGTTAATTTTTCTTAAAGACAACCATGAAAAGTAGTACACTAAAGGATTATTTTAGGGATTTCCAGCTGGTGTATTTTTTCAAGCCTGAATTAATAAAATATCATTCATAAACTGATGCTAAAAACACAAAATAGTCTAAGACTGAAGTGTCCAAAGGCTAAAGCAAATGTACATTAATATTTTCAGATTGTTCGGCATGATAGGACAATGGAACAAATAGTTTTTCCTGTCCCCAATATATGTGAATACCTTACGCGAGAATCCAAGTGTCGTGTGTTCAATACCACTGAAAGGGATGAACAAGGAAGTAAAGTGAATGACTTTTTCCAGCAAACTGAAGATCTCTACAATGAAATGAAGTGGCAGAAGAAAATCAGGAGTAAGTACAATAAACTAAAATGGTTAGTTTTGAGCATAATGGTAGATAAATTGGTACTTTAGAATACATAACAGCATTCATTTAAGTTGGCTTTATAATGCTTATTTATCTATTTTGAGTGAGAGTGTGCATGGGGGAGAATCTCAAGCAGGCTTTGTGCTGTTAGCATAGAGCCGGACACACCAAGCTTGATCTCCCAAACCGTGAGATCATGACCTGAGCAGAAACCAAAACTTGGACACTTAACCGACTGAGCACCCAGGCATCCCTAAATTGGTTTTTAGTTTCTTGCCATTTGATGGTACTGAAGTCACTTATAGGCTTAAGAATGTAAGTTCAATCTACACCTGAGTGGGAGCTGAGAAACCTGTGGCTTAACAGACACTAATTAGATCATCGTTTAGTGCTGATCCTATAGTTTTATAAATCTTATGAAATGCAAGTTTGCAGCTGTATGTTTCAACTGCTGAACAGCTGCACGTTTGCTGTCCTTGAATGGGCTCTGACTGACCTTAACAATCAGTAAATGGGACAGCGAGACATCGGCACCAGCACGCTTGTCCTCTATTATCTTACCATTTTGTGAGTAGATGTTTAATGTTTTCTTGAAAGTCATTCTTTCTTTCAAAATATCTTCACCTTGCCAAATCAGACTAAAATTTTTGTGACACTTGTATTCAAGTAAAGCAATGTTATAATTTTATGGTTAAAAATTAGGGGGCACCTGGGTGGCTCAGTCGGTTAAGCGTCTGAATTGGGCTTAGGTCATGATCTACGGTTCGTGGGTTCGAGCCCCGCGTCAGGTTCTGTGCTGGCAGCTCAGAGCCTGGAGCCTGTTTCAGATTCCATGTCTCTGTCTCTCTCTGCCCCTCCCCTGCTCATGCTCTGTCTCTCTCTGTCTCAAAACTAAATAAGCTGTAAAAAAATTTTTTTAACAGTATAATACGGGGGTACCTGGGTGGCTCAGTCAGTTGAGCATCCTTCTTGATTTCAGCCCAAGTCATAATCTCCCAGTCATGAGATTGAGCCCCATGTTGGGCTCCACAATAAGTGTGGAGCCTGCTTGAGATTCTCTTTCTCTTCCTCACCCTCTGCTCCTCTCCTCACCCCCCACCCCCAAATTAATATAATACAGTTCTCATGATTTATATCACATGAGTCAAGTCTATTTGGAAATACTGAGTTTTAAAATTTTTAAATTCTTTTTTTAAAGTTTATTTATTTTGGGGGGGAAGGGCACAGTGAGAGAGAGACAAAGGATCTGAAGTGATCTCTGCTGTCAGCACAGAGCCTGATGAGGGGCTTGAAGTCACGAACCTTGAGAACCATGAGAACCTGAGCCGAAGTTGGACACTTAACCAACTGAGCCACCCAGGCACCCCTAAACTTTAAAAATTTTTAAGTTTATAATAAACTTTAATTTATTTTCCCAGGTAAGGAATATCATGAGCTTTAAACAAAAATTAGTAGGGGGAAACTCTAGATTAGGTCTTATCTATCCTTGTGGGATGTTTTCCAGACCAGCAGGCATATGTTCTCAATACCTCCATCAACAGGGCTTCATCATTCCAGTTTCCTAGGAACTTTACTGAGTATGGTTTATGGATTTGAGTGGACCTTGAGATACACCATCTTTGGATATAATTATGGCATGCATTGTTAGGCTTTCTTATCAGAATATTTGGAAATAATAAAGAAATGACTCTCCCTTAGCATTTTGCTAGAACCTTATGGAATTCAGAGAAAATTTTGGGTGTCCAGAACACATTTATGAAGATTCAACAATTTTATTTGGGACATTTGAAAAGCACACATTTTATCCCTGACTAAAGTAAGTTGAATAATGAACTAGTGCTTGTGGGATTTGTTCTTTTTTGGATAAATATTTTATCACTTACTCAAAAACAAATCTTGGGATGCCTGGGTGGCTCAGTTGGTTAAGCGTCTGACTTCAGCTCAGGACATGATCTCACAGTTGGTGAGTTCGAGCCCCACACCGGGCTCTGTGCTGACACCTTGGAGCCCGGAGCCTGCTTCAGATTCTGTGTTTCCCTCTCTCTCTGTCCCTCCCCCAATCACACTCTGTCTGTCTGTCTCTCTCTCTCAATAATAAATAAGCATTAAGAAAATTAGAAAAAAATATTAAAAGTAATTTTCAGTGTACATCTTACATTTAAAATTTGGAAGCAACTTGTTATGAGATTATAGATAGAAATGTATTCATTAGATGGATGTACTACAAATATACATATCAACATCTTTTAATTTTGTCTTAAGGTTCAGTTTTTATTTTTATTTTTTTATTTTTCTTAATGTTTTATTTATTTTTGAGAGAGAGATAGAGACAGCATGAGCAGAGGAGGGTCAGAGAGAGAGGGAGACACAGAATCTGAAGACAGGCTCCAGGCTCTGAGCTAGCTGTCAGCATAAAGCCTGACGTGGGGCTCAAACCCACGAACCATGAAATCATGACCTGAGCTGAAGTCGGATGCTCAACCGACTGAGCCACCCAAGCGGCCCCAGTTTTTATTTTTTTAAGTTTATTTATTTATTGCGGGGGGGGGAGGCATGGGAGTGGGGGAAAGGCAGAGAGTACGGGAGAGAGAGCATCCCAAACAAGAATCCCAAGCAGGCTCCTCTCTGTCAGCATAGAGCCTAGTGTGGGGCTAGATCTCAAGAACTGTGAGATCATGACTTGAACCAAAATCAAGAGTTGGATGCTTAACCAACTGAGCCACTCAGGTGCCCCAATATTCTGCTTTTTAAAAGGAAGACTCCTAATCAAAATGATGGAGATGCAGATGTTTACAATTTAAGATATATCAGTCAACTAAATGCCATAACAAATCATAGCCTGTTTTCAGCGTTGAGATGCTTTATTCCAAGAGAATAAAGAAAAACAACATATACTGAAGGGAAGTGCAGGGAGCAGCACATCCCAGATTGGAATTCACAGACCACAATTGAAAATTTTATGATTTCTACTTGAAAATTGATGTTCCTTTCTCCCTCAGGCAACTCCAGTATTTTAGATCTGATGTTTAGATATTTAAGAGTTAGAGAATGGACAAGCTCTGAAATAGTCATTTGGTCAAATTTGTATGCATTTCATATCTGTTCAGTTATTTAAGAGAAGTATATTTAGTAGATGCATTTACTAATTCATTTCTGAAGATAAATACAGAATCTCATTTCTGAAAATATTTAATAAAGCCTCTCCCACTTATTAGTACTTCCTATTGTATCTTTTATGTTTTTCTGCTATTACAAACCCAAGTTCTTAGGAAGCATTAAGGTTTAAAACTTAGATATCATAAAGGGTGCCTGAGTGGCTCAGCTGGTTAAGCATCCAACTCTTGATTTCAGCTCAGGTCATGATCTCACTGTGAGATCAATCCCCACATTAGGCTCTGTGTTGACAGCATGGAGCCTGCTTGGGATTCTCTCTCCTTCTCTCTTTGCCTCTCTCTCTCTCTCTCTCTCTCAAAAATAAATAAAAATTAGATATTTTAAATCATGAGTTCCCAGTAAGCAGTATTATGCCATGCTATTAAAGGTTCAGAATTTCAGGTAATTGACTGGGTCATAGGAATATTCGTCAGACATGTATCTGTTTGGGCTTTTTTTGTTTTGTTTTTTTTTTCACTTTTTGACTCTAAGACATGGGAGTGGGATGAATTTATCAATATCACCGACTTACAAAGTGATACATACTGTTCTGTTAAAGGGGCCCCAGGCATCCACTGACCTGTCTTTCCCCTAATCTGCTCTAGGGATGTATCAGAGAGAATTATTACAAAATCACCTTTTCTAACCATGTTTAGCAATTGCAAAATTACCTACCCTTTTACAATGGCTTGGGTGTAAATTGGCTGAAGAATAAAGAAGGAATCAAATAGAAAACTCCCTTATGGTATTGATTATAAACTTTCTTAAATAAGTCATTTTGAATGTTTATTTAAATGTGCTTTTATACTACTTTACAGAAACACAATTTAGTAAAATGTTGTTTCAATGGTGTTCATGTGTTAAAATCAAAATTAATGATTCTGTTTTGCCCCATCACATTTGTTGCTTCCTAGGTAACCCTGCGCTGTTCTGGTTCTCAAGGCACATATCCCTCTGGGGGAGCATTTCCTTCAACTTGGCTGTGTTCATCAATTTAGCCGTTGCTCTCTTCTACCCATTTGGGGATGATGGAGATGAAGGCGAGTGCTTCTCTTTCTTTAAATGATAAATATTTTAAAGTTCTAAAAATAATACTCTTGAAAATACATCCCTTAACTACTTAGAGCTTCAGAATAACAGTAATTTAATTCTTTTAAATAAACCTTTCTGTCTTCGCTGGAAGTAGAGAATGGTGGTAAGTAGGTTAGGCAGAAAACATTGGTCAACAGAAATGTTAGTTTTCCAAAAGCTCATATACAGCTATTAGAGGTATGTTAGACTGGCAAACAAAGCAATGAAAAGGAATTATTATTTCCACCTGATTAATGTTACTGAAAGCATTTTTAATATGGTATCATCTCAATTATATAAGTATATGGGAAAATGAGAGGTTTCTAACAAAATATTCATTGTGATGACCTTAAATGTTGGAATTTATAACTTACCCTCTTCCTCGCTTTCTGTCTTGTCTAAGTTTTCTATGATGACTACACATGGACTCTGGGAAAAAAATGTTTTAATGTACAGCATAGAGGTGAATATGATCATAAAGAATATCTCAGATCTCAGATTAGAAGTTAACTCTTGTTTCCAATCTAGGGCTTCTCTACATGATGACCGACTGAAATTAATATTATTAAACTGACAATAAATGAAGTTTTACAAAAGCAAAGAGAAGATATATCTCATTTTACATGAAATGGGAAGTAGAAGTGAAACATGCTAAAGGGTGGGACTGTGGAAAGTAATTTTGTTAAAGTCTGACAAAGCCTGTGGGAAAATACGTTGCAGGCTTGGGATACATTCAGGTAAATAGCTCTGAAATGTGTGTGGAAAGAATGGCTTGAAGGAAAAGGTGAGAGATATCAGCAAACAAGAACCACAAAGTGCTTTTATATCTCACCTGTTCGTAGGATTATTGTAAGAATTGAATGAGATGGTATATAGGGAAAGCATTTAGAACAGTGCCTGGCAAGCCTTCCAAGACACTTAGCTGTTGTTGATGTCATTGTTGTTAAATATTAATACTACAAAGGGAAGCCCAGTGAAAACGATAGTATGATGAGAGCAATGGGTATTTAAGCTGATTTCAGATGAACTGGAGGTGAGCATGAAGGGAAATGAGAGTCCAGGACTAGTTTTCAATTTCAAAGCTCTATTACAGTTAATAGACATCAAAATCCTAATCTTTAGGTATAATTTGAATGGCTTTTAAAAAGTTTGATATTTTAGAATGCATGCCTGGGCTGAAAGAAGAATACTCGGCAGAGGAGCAGATAGGTGAGGAGTTAAATAGAAAAACATAGCCAGGGGCGCCTGGGTGGCTTAGTCGGTTAAGCGTCCGACTTTCGCTTAGGTCATGATCTCGCGGTTCGTGGGTTTGAGCCCCGTGTCGGGCTCTGTGCTGACTGCCAGCTCAGAGCCTGGAGCCTGTTTCAGTCTGTGACTCCCTCTCTCTCTGACCCTCCCCTGCTCACGCTGTCTCTCTCTCTCTCTCCTAGAAATAAATAAAACATTTAAAAAAAAAGAAAATACATTTTTGTTTAAGGTAAAAGAAAATAATTTTGTCCGAAATGAGACGCTTGTTTGCAGAAAATGGCTTAGGTCAAGATCTGAATGCGAAAAAAGTTGTAGAAGTTTCTTGAAGGAAAATCTTTGGAAAGGGATTTTATGTGTGGTTTCAATGGACTAAGGTTGAAATGAATGGATTTTAAAAATGCACTGATACAAGATTGAAATTCTTCTTTTCTCTCTGTTCAAAAGACAGTTTTNCCAGGGGCGCCTGGGTGGCTTAGTCGGTTAAGCGTCCGACTTTCGCTTAGGTCATGATCTCGCGGTTCGTGGGTTTGAGCCCCGTGTCGGGCTCTGTGCTGACTGCCAGCTCAGAGCCTGGAGCCTGTTTCAGTCTGTGACTCCCTCTCTCTCTGACCCTCCCCTGCTCACGCTGTCTCTCTCTCTCTCTCCTAGAAATAAATAAAACATTTAAAAAAAAAGAAAAACATAGCCAATATTTGGCCATCCATTGTGGGACATTGCAAATACAGCAGGAAGTAGAAGCAGCTTTCTTTTCACTGTGTTTAGTCTTATTTAGTGATGATAGCCGTCTTGGCACAGAAGAATGTAATTCTTGTAAGCAGAGAGTCTGGCATGAAATGATAAATCAGTATCATCTGTACACAGAACGTTGAGAACAGGTTGTAGAGTCTCAGTTAATAGAAGCATAAGGTCTTAGATATGGAAGCAATTGTGGAAATCCTCTAGTATCAAATCCTCGTTTGACAGATCAAGAGATGGAATCCCAGAGTGGCTAAAAAAATGGTAGACCTTAGAGTAGAAAGTTAACTCTTTTGTTTCCAATCCAGGACTTTTCTATATAGATAATTGGGTTGCAAGCCTATAGATAACAGGAAGATGACAAATCTTCATACAGAACATAATTTTTTCTGAGTTCCATTCCATGATATCCCTTATTTGACCACTAGAGCCAATGTATATAGCCTCTGCTGCCACCTATTGTACATGAAATATAATGGTAATGGGCAATGCCACCCCTCTAGACATCTACTTTTTACTCATTCAGGAGAAAGTAAAATATCTTATACATTTTTGATACTTGCCTAGTAACAGCTATGGCAGTAATATTGGTATAATAATAATAGCAGCTGATGCTGTTTACTAGTTAGATTGGGTCAAGCAGAATGCTAAGCACTTCACATGCATAATTTCATTGACGTTTCCTGACAATCCTATAAAGTAAGCACTTCATCTTTATGGATGAAGATCTGAGGTTTAAGAATATTTGCCCAGTAATTCAGGAGAGGAGTCCATAAATATGTATTTTTTAACAAGTTCCCAAGGTATTGCTGGTCGTTGAGCAAGCACTTGAAACCACACGCATAGTACTGTTTGGAGTAAGGCTCCAGCATCAGAAGGAAATAGGACTTACGAAAACAAGATTGAAAAACATGGTGCCTCATCATCAGGTGAAGATGCAGACTTTACTCTTCAAAAAGGACTGGATAAAAGTTAATACTAGTAACCAAAGCGGAGGCTCAATCTTAGATGTCTGCATTGGGTGTGGGGCACTGACTCTAAGAGAGAAGAGAAGGCATGAGCTGCCATTTCAGCAATAGCGAATCCCAAGATCACTAATTTGGATTATCTAATTTTGGATTATCTAATTACAGTTCTGGATGAGAGTTATTTAATTATAATTCTATGAGTAAAGTTAAAATTTTGGTCAGGATTAGCTCAGTCTCTAACCTTCAGTTGTATACTATGCATAGCTAGGAAGACTGAGAAAACAAAGTCAAAACTGAGAAGCGTACTTGGACATCAGAACTGTCTGGAGAAGGATAATCCTGTGCTGGATATGCAAGTTCTCTAATGCTGGATTTTGTCCAACATAGTTTCAGTGACACCTTGCCAGGAGCACTTTGAGGTGATTTAAGGCTGGATTAGGTTGAGCATTAACATTCCCTCCAAGAAGTACCTAAAAATGATGGAGACATGTCAAAGAACACAAGATCCAACTTGAAAAGCCTCCCAGTGACCACATCTGCAGAAATTTTTAGGAAAAAAAAAGTATTGACAGTAATATGTAATAACCCATAGAATAAGATAAGAATCCAGGAGTCTATATGGATCATGACAAAAGAAACCTCTTCCTTACAATAACATTCCAGTTAATAAATGTAGAAGGAAAGGCATCTGGGTGGCTCAGTCAGTTAAGCTTCTGACTCTTGATTTTGACGCAGGTCATGATCTCGTGGTTTGTGAGTTCAAGCTCCTTGTCAGGTTCTGTGCTGACAGTGCGGAGCCTGCTTGGAATTATCTCTCCCTCTCTCTCTGCCCCTATCCCATTTTTGCTCACTTTCTTTCTCAATATAAACTTTTAAAAAAGCATTAAGAAAAATAAAATATAAATGTAGAAGGAATGCTGGAAATAGAATATTACCATTTGGCAAACAATACTGTAGTAAGAATCATCATGGATGTTAATATTCATAGGTGAATGTTAGATTAAAAAGCATAATGAGAAACAGGATATTGACATAGTCTCAAAGTATTTTACCCCCAACACATTTATTGATTACAAGAGGAAAAAGAATAACTTTTTAATGTGGAGAAATCACTTTAGATGATCAACGTTAATGTCACCAGTAATGAGACAGCAACAACGAGTGCCTCTTGATATGATGCACTAACAAGGACATGGCATTATTATCCAAAAATACATCAACTGAGGAAATTTTAAACAAACCTAAAATTAGGGACATTCTTCAAAATAATTGGTTAGTAATATTTAAGCTTATGAAAGATAAAGGTAGAGGAATGGTTCAAATTAAAAGAGACTATAGAGATATGACAAATGATACAATATGTGATCCTGGTCAAGATAAAGAATACTAATTGGGCAATTGATGAACTTTGAATAAGGCCTATAGATTAAAGTGATATATCATAATAAAACACCTAGGAATAAGCTTAACCAAAGAGATAAAAGACTTGTACTCTGGACAATGTAAAACACTGATGAAAGAAATTGAAAATGACACAAAAAAATGGAAAGATATTCCATGCTCATGGATTGAAAGAACTAATGCTGTTAAAATGTCCATACTACCCAAAGTAATCTACAAATTTAATGTAATCCCTATCAAAATACCAACATCATATTTTACAGAACTAGAACAAATAATCCTAAAATTTGTATAGAATCACAAAAGCGGTAGAATACCCAAAACAGTCTTGAGAAAGAAGTACAGAGTTGGAGGCATCACAATCCCAGATTTCAAATTATACAACAAAGTTGTATAATCAAAACAGTATGGTCTGGCACACACACACACACACACACAAGACACATAGATCAGTGGAACAGAATAGAGAGCCTAGAAAAAACCCCACGCATTCATGGTCAATTAATCTTTGACAAAGGAGGCAAGGATATGCAGTGGGAAAAAGAGAGTCTCTTCAACAAATGGTGCTGGGAAAACTGGACAGCTACAAGCAAAAGAATGAAACTATGCCACTTTCT